TTCGGAGGTTTTTATGATGTCCCAAATGATAATGAGAATGAGAAGAGTTTTTGAGCCTATAAAGTTCATATATTCTTGATCAAGATCAATAGCCAAGTCGATTAAGCCATGTCCGGCTTTCCGTTATCAGGCTGTCCGTATGAACGCTGAGATCTGAGGAACTATAAGGGATACAGAGTTACTGCGCCGAGTGCATAAGACACTAATATCGTCAATATCAGAGTTAAAAAACGGCCTTAAAAAGAGTGGGGGAATTAGTCCTACATATTCCAAAAAAAATATTAAAAATATGCTAAAACACTTAATCGATATCATAACAAATTATTGCTATCATACCTAATATTAGGATAGGTTTGTTTTCTAGATAAAGTAGTTATATTTTAGTTACCTTTGAAAATACCGAATATAAAGAAGCAACATTTTACGTTTTTCTTTGATGTTTTTAAATTTTAAGTATATAGTTGTAACCTTTTTTTTTGCGTTTGGAATAAAACCTAATTACTGTAAATACATACTGTTAAAAAAATTTTCTTTAAAATTAAACAACAGTTTTTGACTTCAGCGTAAAAAAAACTACTTTATTGTGCTTTATAAAAAAGTGAAAACATAAACCAATAAATGCGACGGGAGCCAATTAAAAACCAAATCTTAAAATAAAAACAAGAAGAAATGCTATAGAATAGTTCCGCGATTCCACAGATATCTTCCGTTACTGTCTTACACAATTCAAAGTATTCATCTTGCTAGTGGAAATGGACGAAGGTTTACTTTTTATCAAAAAAGCATTTTTACTTTCTGATAGTGACGTCACTGGGAGCCCATTTCCCCGTGAGGCCTTATAGCCTACAGTTCTTCATAAATAGCGAAAGAATAATCTATTATATATTATATATGGGCGTGGCTAGATAGTGAAAAATTAATACGCATTTGGGGCATTATGAAAAACTACATGTTTATTTCAAACTTTCTATCTTTTATAGTTGCCGAGGTAACGACAAGAAGCGAATACCGTCTTTCCACCGTGGTGTGGCCCCATACTACTTAAGATGCGCTGGCATCTCAAAACTATACAAATTTAATCCCAACTTTCTAGCTCTAGTAGTTCGGGAGATTTCAGCGATTTTATTTTTTCGTTATTTGTGGGCGATAGGGTGGGCGTGGCATGCTGAAATAAACTTGCGCTGCGTAAGGACCTCAAGAATCTGATTAATCTCTACTGTGTATCTTTTATAGTTCCTGATATCTAAGCGTTCATTAGACTTAGACTTAGATTGATCCCGGTCAAAAATATACATACTTTATAGGGTCGGAAACGCTTCCTTCCACCTTTTACGCTTTTTTAATATACCCTCTTACTCTACGAGTAACGAGTATAATGTTTTTCTAAAATCATGGTCGAACCAGGTCGAACGAAAATCGACATATTATTTCGGCTGTTAAATTAGGAAAATTGTTTTATGCTACATTTATACCCTGGTGACCTTTTTGATATAAAAACCGCACTCTTTCTTAATCTCCTTAGTAAAGTTTCGCATCAACATATTCAGTTACATTTTGTACGACTTTCTCATGATAGCATTTTAAAATGTTTTTAAAAGATCTAATTTATAAAATATCCCTAATAAATAAGTGCAAAATCATAAACAAATATTGGTTGCATTGGCAAGAGCGATTAAAATAAATTATTTTGTACAAGTTTTTGGTGCCATCTGTTTCTAGAACCATAAATGACGTGGTTAAATATCTGACAGTAATTCCATTGCCCAAATATTGCCCCTTTACCGAAATAACTCATGATAAGATTAATCTTCGCTCTTTGCAGAACTCAGCAGATTAACCACTGGACCCATGCTCTGTTGAGTTTCACTCAAATTCTGCTCAATCGATACAACAGAATATTAAAATATTTACTCTTATTCAGTATCAACTTCGTCAACTGACATAATATCGGTTACATTCAAATTTAACATGTTATGATAGGATGCGCTTATTTATTGACAGAGTGCCTTTCTTTCCTTAAAAACTATGAGCCTTAATCTCATTTTATCTTCCTTCTTTATCTGGAAATACTAGGACTAATATATCATGGAAACTATTTAGACCCATTTTTTGGAAGCATTGCCGTGTTCTAAATTTAAATCCATTGTGGATTAAATTTATTTTTCTTTTAATTATCAATTTTATATCGAATATAAATACGATTTGATGTTTTACACATTGATATATTACGTAATCCCTTGTTCCTTAATGTTTCACCTTCAATGTAATCAAAAGTAATCATTGGATTACCACCAATGCTTACGTTATCAAAATAAAACAAAAAACGCTATAGTACGTGTTTACAATTCAAAGTTACTTAAAGATCGTATATTTTTCAGATATAAAGGTTGTAGGACACCTTCTATTAGGTCCAGTGAAAGGCGACGTCCTCAAAGTGTTTCATCTATATCTTGATGTCGAGTTTCAGTGGCATCTCTAAAATACGTATTCTTAAGCACAACTTTCTAGCTCTTATAGTTCCCGCGATTTTTGGATTTTTGGTTTTCGGGGTTTTGTGGGCGTTAGGGTGAGCGTGTCTAGATGGGAAAAAACAATTCGCATCATCATAAAAACCTACATGCTTAATCCAAACTTTCTATCACTAATAATTACCGAGATGCGCTGGTATCTCAAGATTATACATACTTAATCTTAACTTTCTAGTTTTAATAGTTCCTGAGTTTTCAAAGATTTTAGTTTTCCGTGATTTGTTGGCGTTATAATGGGCGTGGCAGGATGCTGTAATAAACTTGCGCTGCTTAGGGACCTCGGGAATCTGCCTGATTAATCTCAACTCTTTGTCTCTTATAGTTCCTGAGATCTCATGCTTCATACGGACAGACAGGACGAGTAACGGGTATACAAATGTTTAATAACCATAGAATCACCTTAAACCCGAACATAGATATGTTTTAAACTATAAGTAAATATCTAGGATTCAAATTTATACTATTTTACGCATTGTGAGTTTGTTATATCGCCAAATTTGCCATGTCCGTCGAAGCAAAATGAAATGTCCAAATCAACGCAGAGATCCCGGCAACTAAAAGAATATCTCTATGGTTGCTATTAGGAATATAGATTTCGCTCAAATCTGGGGAACTTTATAGATACAAAATTGTGACTACCAGACATAGGCAGAGAATTTCATATTTTCACTAGTGCCAAAATTATGGCTTATATGGCGTTATGTCCTCCAATGTCCCTGAGATTATTGATCTTCAGACAGTTCTGACCTATATTTTTTAGGAGCTTTTGTGGCACACTTTTGTTAAAAAACGCGATTATTATTTTTTCTGTTATTGTCCTCGTTTGAAATTGCGAAAGTCAAGAACGAGTTGACTTCTGCCATGAGTAAATTCCAAAAGTGACCCTCGCCAAAGGTGGTTCATCTGAGCAATGCACGTTATCAATATTTGCCGCTGCCCTGTAGACTGTGGCAGGGCCACAACGATGGGACGCTGACGGCCTATTTAGGTAAGCTAGTGCTAGAGTTGGTTGCACCATCCTAAAAAGTAGTCCACTATTACGCGAAATGTGGGTTATTAAAGATCTGGCTTATACCGGCTTAAGGTTGTAGATAAGTTTGAGTAGTGGTCTGTTGATGATTTTGCCTCTTTGGATTTTGTCTGCCATAATTGTCCTCCTGTCTTTTTTTGTTTCACTTTTTGTGCCAAGGCTAGAGATAATAGTTTGCGGCTTTGCAAAAACTGAGGCCGCAATTTTCTAAAGTAATTCCTGCTTCTCTTGCTTCTTTAAAGCGGCCTGCTCTGCCAAAGTGTTGATGATGACGAACATATAGCACCTATATTTTTTTAGCAGGTGGTGTGAATTTGAGTGTTTTGGTGTCAAGGTCTGAGTTCATATTTCATATTTTAACGCCAATGTTCCTGTTTCTGTATCGGATTCGTCATGTGTAATGGGGAGCTGAAAAAACGACCACAAAAATGCAAAAATCAATGCTCAAAATTGAGATATTTACATAATACAAATTAGCCGTGTTATGGGCATATTATTTAGATGCCAAAATACATTAAATTTGTAGCACTATATTTTATTCTATATTCTGAGCACTGTAATTTCAAGTTTTCTGTAGTAACTGGGGCTGGGAAAAATTGTAGTAAACAGTGAACATAAAAATGTGAACCACGGCTTCCATTTACAGTGCCTCGCAGCTTATTTCGTGCAGTTACCTGAAAAAAGTTTGAATGGTTATTCCTGCTCAACTAAAAAAGATAACAAAAATATTTAAACGCAGTATTTTAGCAGGGAAAATTTACATGTTTATTAAACTAGCATAATCAAAAAAGGTATTTACTAAAAACAACATGTTCAGCCTTTTTCTCTTCCTCAGCTTATTTTGTGCAGCAGATACTACTTAAGTTATTATTTGTAATTTAGCAGCTAATGGAAAAATCATTAAACCATGGAAGAAACTAACTTTTAAATGGATTCATCTGGATTTTTTTGGCATTCTTCCATTGGAACAGTATTCCGATCGTTTTTGGTCGAAATCTTCTTTACAAAGATGTCCAACATTCTCATAAATTTCCTGCAGGATATCCTGCGGTGCCTGCCGTCTGTGCAGGAGTATTATCCCAAATGACGGCGCTAAGTAATTTGCAAGAGTTTGTCTATTGACTTGTATAAACTGCTGTTATCTTTTATATTGGATTGGGTGAAACGGTTTTCATTCTAACTGTTACAAACTTTTCTATGAGCAAATTGTATAAAAAACCATATTGTGTAAATGGATTTATCTTAGTAGTGCCAGAGGAAGTATTTAAGCAAAATATTTTGAATCATATATCGTGTAATATCAAATTTTTGTGCCTTTCCAAAATCCTTTTTTTTTTTAATTTTAAAAATATAAACCAACAGTTTGTATTATAAAACCAAAATTGGTTCGTGTATGTGCCTTCAAAAATCCATTATATCTGTAACCATAAACACCCTGTTTGCAATTTACCCAAGTGTGGTATGGCTAGATGCAAGCGCTTTTTGTAATCGGCGCCGTTGTGTTTTCAAGGAGAATAATATTTGGGATATAATTTAAAAATTTTTTTATTTAGTAGGTTTGCCTACCATCTCTGTACATATACGTACAATGAAAATTGGTACTACATAGGTAGGAGAGATAATTAAGTATTCTCCGGTGACGCCATTTTGTCCAACGTTTAATTTTGTGTCCAATAAATGGATTTTGGTAAAAACAGGTAACTGTTCTTTAATTTAGGGCTAATTTAAACAACTAGTAAAGTGTTAATTCACAGTGTTTCAAAAAGTTTATATAAAAGTATCCATATTTCCAATGCCAATTTTTTAATATACATGGAAATGTGTGTACGTGTTTACAATTCAAAGTTACTTAAAGATCGTATATTTTTCAGGTATAAAGGTGGTCGGACACCTTCTATTAGGTCCAGTGAAAGGCGACGTCCTCAAAGTGTTTCATCTATATCCACACTATCACCGAGAGCCGTCTTGTCGAGGTTGGAACCAAGGGAGTTTGAACGTCTTCGTTTATCTTACAAAGTCGCTATCGACCAAAGAAGATCCAGAAGCTGCCGTGGCATGAACATGGGCCAAAAAATTAGTGGTGGAGTCAAAACAGTTAGTCGAAATGATTCACAGTCTACTTTTAAACCAATAATACCAAGAGAGTTACAAGCTGATTTTGTCAAACCAGCGCGAATTGATATCTTACTTGATATGCCACCAGCGACTCGAGAACTACAATTGAAACATTCATGGAACTCCGAAGATAGGTCGTTAAACATTTTTGTAAAAGAAGACGACAAGTTAACATTTCATAGACACCCAGTTGCTCAAAGTACTGATTGTATTCGCGGAAAACTGGGGCTAACAAAGGGATTGCATATTTGGGAAATTTATTGGCCAACGAGGCAAAGAGGAACACATGCTGTTGTTGGGGTATCTACTGCAGATGCGCCTTTACATTCAGTTGGATACCAAAGTTTAGTCGGATCAACTGAACAGAGTTGGGGCTGGGACTTGGGAAGAAATAAATTGTACCATGACTCAAAAAACTGTGCTGGTATCACATATCCAGCCATATTAAAAAACGATGAAGCTTTTTTAGTACCCGATAAATTTTTAGTAGCGCTAGATATGGACGAAGGAACACTTAGCTTCATTGTTGACCAGCAGTATCTTGGTATTGCCTTTAGAGGTCTGCGAGGAAAAAAACTATACCCCGTAGTCTCGGCAGTTTGGGGTCACTGTGAAATAACAATGCGGTATATTGGTGGATTAGATCGTAAGTACATTTTAATACTATTAACTCATTTAATTTCTTTATTTTATAACTTAATGTTTGATTGGAATAAAAAAATCCCGCTATTATACATACCCGTTATTCTGGTAACCACTTTAAAAAAAAGTCTAATAGAAATAAACGTATTGTAAAATGTATTACTTACCATATATGCATAGTAATGTAAAAAAAATTTTTTTCGTTTCTATTATTTTTTCCATTACTGTATAGCGCATATAGCAAAGCAATTTTTTTAATCTCGCAGTCGCAAACTGTATATATGTACTGTATAGTTACCAATATCTCAGCGTTCGTACAGATTGGCCAGTTTAAAGCGGTTTTTAAGCATTAAAATCAGATTAGATGATAAAAAGCCTTGAGCTTAATCCCAATTCCCTATCTTTGAGTTGACCATTGATCCTGATAAAGTACATAAATGTATTTCTATTAGGGCTGAAAAGCTTTCTTCTTAAATTATCATTACCTATATCATGCCCCGCTTAAAATTTTATCAAATTTTGTATTTAGATATACAAACAGATTGCCGGAGGTTCACTTCTAGGTACACAATAATGCTTCCGTTGACTGTTGTGGGACACAATACCGACCACATAAATAATAAAACAAGAAGAAATGCTATAATTGAGTGCCGCGACTATAAGATGTCCGTTACGGTTTTACACAATTTTAAAATATTCATTTTACTAGTGGAAATGGACAAAGCGCCACAAAAAAAAAAAACATGTTTATGGTATGGTAACGCCACTCTCCATGTGAGGCATTATTATTATTTTTTTTTTTTTCGCGCGACTCCCGTTGCTTGACGTGCAACCCACCTCCCGCCCAAGCGACCGAGGGGCGCTGCCGTCTGACGTACGGCTCGGAACACGGGGATAGATCCGAGTGGATTAGGAAAGATACGAGGAAAGTTAGTTTTGTGCTAAATGGATTAGTATCGAAACTTTCAAAGTGTTAGGAGAAGAGTTAGAAGTAATTTTATAAAGATCATTGTAGTTTGAACATAGTACCCGAAATGGTTCAAAGTTCAAACTATAATGCTCTAAGGATAAAGGAATATAGTTTCTAGTAATCCTAAGGGGTACATGGATATTCAGGCGGCCTAGAAGGGCCTGGCTATCAATTTCACCCTTAAGAAGATTATGTATAAAGATTACCCCAAGCATCGTCCTACGATAAGCAAGGGATGGCAAGTTGATTAGTAAGAGTCTACTTTGAAAAGAGGGAAGGTGTATATTTGCATCCCAGTTGAGACCGCGGAGAGCAAATATTAAAAAATTCTTTTGGATGGATTCAATAAGGCACTGGTCAACCCCATACTGGGGGTCCCAGATACATGATCCATATTCCAGAATCGGACGAACCAAAGAAATAAAAATATTTTGGTAACATAGGGGTCGTTAAATTCCTTTGACCACCTTTTAATGAAACCAAGAACTCCTCTAGCTTTATTAACCATATGGTCGGAAAACTTAAGTTTTGCATCGAGTAGGATGTCAAGATCTTCAACTGCCTTAATTCTTTCCAGAGCTACACCATGCAAAGTATAAGTGGCAGCTTTAGGTCTTAGGCGACAGAAGGTCATTGCTTTGCACTTAGAGCCATTAAGATTTAATAAGTTTGCAGAGCACCAGTTTTGAAAATTATTAAGGTCAGATTGCAGTTTCACCTGGTAGGAGGCATCAGTATATTGCAGACAGAGTTTGACTTCATCTGCATACATAAGTACTAGGGAGTCATTAATAACCAAGGGAAGGTCGTTAATGAATAAGGTAAAAAGTAACGGGCCAAGGTGGCTCCCCTGAGGGACCCCGGAGGAAGCATAGACTAAAGCAGACACTGAATTTTTAAAAAGAACTCGTTGCGTTCTACCTGTGTGGTAACTGCTAATCCATAATAACCCATATTTCTTCATAAATAGAAAAATAACGTTCCGATTTGAAATATCTTTAGTAAATCTATAGATATTAACAAAAAATGTTATACAAGGTCAATAAAAGATGGTTTGTGGGCTTTATAGCGGGTATGGCAAAATAAACATCTCTAAATACGTATTCCTAGGCCCAACTTTCTAACTCCAAGATTTTCGCATTTTTGGTTTTTTATATAGCTTTGCTTTTATTTATTGAATCTACTCTTAATTTTTGAGACTAACAATAAGTTGACGAATCTTAACATTAAAATTTAACTAACAGTATACTAAGACTGCATTTTGGATGCGCTTCTCTCAGGTCGGTCGCTGGATGGGTAGGTCATTGCGACGAAGGCGTGATTGGTTGCTCAACCTTGTTAGACCTGTCCCCAGGTGGTTAGGGTGCACCGATAGCTTGGTGAAGTTCTTTACCTTCTGTTCTGCGATCACTTCTTTAAGTCGCGGTGTATGTTTTCGTTGCGAACGTACCACGGGTCCCCAGTGATTGTTCTCAAGATCTTCGATTGAACTCTCTGAACAATGTCAATGTTGCTATTGCTGACGTTCCCCCATGATTGGGAGCCGTACATCCATATAGGTTTTAGTACCGAGTTGTACAGCAGGATTTTATATTCAAGGCTAAGAGGTGTGTTCTTTTGGCTTCAATGTTCCGCCGCCATGTGAGGCTTCTGTCGAGATGTACTCCTAGGTATGTTACTCCGTTTGCTTGTGGGACTAGAGTGTTGTTTAACGTAATCGGTGGGCAGTTTTGCCTGTTCAGAATGACGTTACGTGCTTGCATTTAGTTCGCCAATCTGATAGCCATTTTTCAACATCGACCATATGAAGAGCTAGCTGCGCAGTTGCTTGAATCGGGCATTTTGAGCGGCTAAGAATAGCTGTGTCATCGGAAAACGTAGATGTTGTTACTCGTGTGCTTGTCGGGATGTCTGCTGTGTAGAGGATATATAATGTTGGCCCTAGCACGCTACCATGAGGAACTCCAGTTCCAACAGTGTAATCATAAGGTATAGCAGTGTAGCACCTCACAACAAATTTTCTGTTGTGAAGGTATGACTCTAAAATCTTGTGGGTGCTGTAGAGGAGCATTGTCTCGATCTTGTACATTAGACCTTCTAGCCAGACTCTCTCGTTTTTCGAAAGCGTTTTGAATTTATCCGTTCTGATGTTATCCGGTTGACCTGCTCAATTGTTCCATGCTTTTCACGAAACCCAAATTGGTGTGACGGGATTCCTTTCTGGATTTTCAGGTATGTGTTTATCCGAGTCATTAGACATTTTTCAAAGAGTTTAGATAGCCAAGAGAGTAGGCTTATAGGTCTATATGACGTGTGGTCTTTCCCCGGCTTTACCATCATTATTATAATTGACTTTCCATATCACCTGAAAGTGGCCAAGTTTTGCATTGGCATTAAAGAGCTGGGTGAGAGTGCAAACGGCGCAGTATGGGAGCTCAATGATCACTTTCGGAGCAGCCCGGGGATTTTTTCGGATTCAGTTGTCTTTTGATGATGTTAACGAATTCGTTTGGGCCAATCTCATTTGGCTCATGTTGAGGCTGGGGCTCATATGATAGAGTCGGCAAAATAAACGCATTAGTGACAGGATTTGGTTGGAAGACATTTTTAAGGTGGTTGGCAAACGTGCTGCCTCTGTCTGCGTCACTACGCGCCCAGCCGCCTGTGGAATTTCTAATAGGCATCACGGTTTCTTTCGGTGAGCTCAGAGTTGGGTGAGCTCTCCATAGTGAGTGTTTTGTACTATAAGATGACAATTGCTCACTGTAGCGGCGGTGGACATATGTTTCTTCTTGCTGAAAAGCTTGAGCAAGTTGACGTGAGGGATGTTTTAAATTTAGCTTAGCAGATTGCGATCTGAGAAATTGCCATTCTCGACGTAAGCGTCGCTTTTCGAGGACGAGCTGTTCGATTTGTAGATTTGTCTTCTTTTAATTGCATTGTGTGTTTATAGTTTGAGGTGTTGAAACTCGAGCTGCAGAGACGAGTACAGATTCCAGTGAATTAACAAAATTGTCTACGTTGGCTTCATCGCTGAGGTGAGGAGTTAGCTCAATGTGTGAGCTAATATACTTCCTGTACTTAACCCAATTAGTTTTATGTGAGATCAGTTTTAATGGTTGATCCCATGCTCCTGGATGTCGGAGTAGAGTAAAAAGGACACCCGATTGATCAGATGAAAGATGACGGCATTCGGCGCTTATTATATTTTAAGGAATGTTTTTGGTAATCGCAAAGTCTATTAAATCGGGAAGTTTCTTTGTAGTCGAGCTTGTTCTTAGCTTTGATAATTGCATTATAGAGCTGCTTTCCTTTTGGAGTCATGAGACGAGATCCCCAGTGTGTGTGCTTGGCATTGTAGTCTCCTGCTGCTACGAAGTGGTCTCCGAGTGAGTTGAAAAACTTTATAAACTCATCTTCTGCTCTGGTGAAGCGTGGGGGGCAGTATACGGCGGCTAGCGTTAATTGCTTGCCAGTATTTAGGTGTATATTTATGGATGTGGCCTGTAGGTAGTTTTTAGCATACATTTTTAGCATGCTTAGTACGGCTTCTGATTAAAATTCCAGTCCCGCCGTGTGCGGGACCATCTGGATGGTTTGTTCCATAGAATGAATATCCTCGCAGTTGGAAATTGTATCTGTTTGTAAGATGTGTTTCTGAAAGCACCATTACGACGATTTGATTGTCTAGTAGGAATTGCGCTAACTCGAGTTTAAGCTGCGAAACGACGTTAGCGTTCCACGTAGATATTCGTAGGGAAGTCATAATTTGGATTGTTGTGAAACCAGCATTTGTATTAATAGATTTTGGTTTCGCATCAGATCTTGCATTGTTAAATGTGTGTTTTAAATTACGTCTACATTAAAATTATGCATATGGATTATTTTACGACCCCAATTGTAGCATCAGATCTTGCATTGTTGTACGCATAAACGACATAAACTCCGTAAGGCTTTGTTGTAGACTGCATATCATAGCTTCAATGTTACTTTTTGGCTGCTCCGGCTGTTGATGCTGCTGAGCCGTGTTCGGTTCTTGGTATTTGCGGCAGTGAGCTTTTTGAGGCTGGGGTAGCCAGTCCTGATCTTAAAGCACTTGCGTATGAAACATTTTTGGCAGAGTTTATGGGTCCTAGTGAGGATCTGGCTGCAGTCGAGAAGAATACTTCAGGGTTTGACCTGGAGGCTATCAACTGTTTATTTTGGGTGCGGACAGTAATTCCCCGACTTTCCGACTTTTCAGCTCCTTATAAACTGGGCAACCTCTATAGTTAGCAGTGTGATTTCCACCGCAGTTGCCGCACTTTTTCGAGTTGTGGTCATCTTTGGGCGGAGTCATAAAGCTCACCACAAACTACACACACCGGGCGCAGTTTACAGTAAGACCTTGTATGGCCATATTCTTGGCAGTTCACACATTTTACCGGGCCATTGCGTTTGTGCGGCTCCTCAACTGTAATATTTCAATATAACTCTGTAATTATCTTCAGACTTCGTTTGAACTTTTGTTTCCTGGATGTTGCCCCTTACGAGTGGTATTATTGGAAGTTGTCCTTGCCAATAAGCTCTATAATTTTGTTGACAAGAACGTTTGAACTTTTTTCTCGTATGTAAATTGGCAGGGGCTTAGGCTTCCTTTTTTCGACTTCAGTAGATTCGGCATCATCCGCATATTCTGCGAAGATTTAAAAACGGTTTGAGTTCGTGGGCATTTCTATTGCAGCTATGTTAGCATTGCCACGGGTTATTTGCGCTGTTTGCGCTGTTAAACGAGCTGTCGTTACAGTTGCGGTTGTTGTTGTTGTTACGGTTGACGTTGTCAAAGAAATTACTGTGCTAGTTACTGCGCTCTTTGGCTGCAGAGACATCGATGGTAGCGAGGGGGAGCAAGAACGCGCTCTCTCGCTCTCTACGTCTAAGAATTCGGTCAAGTTTGGGGTAATTGACCGTGTTTGGGATGAGCTTGCATTACATTCGCTTGCTTTGAAAGAGAAGTACGCGTTGTTTCTTTGTACTGAGGGCCGTCTTTCGTCTTGCTCACGTTGACGTTGTGTGCGAACGTCGTTTAAACTCATTGTAATCGAGGTTGAGTTTGTCAGAATTTTAAGTGTTATGTTTTATATTAATTAATTAATTAATCAATACAAAGATTACCGATTTCATCGCTAAAAGCGCCTTTTCGCGTTGTTGTTGGTTTACGAAACCAGTCACTGCACTTTTTTGATATTATTGAATACTTTTTTACCGGAGCACAATAAAATAAACGTCTGCATACGACGACGACTATACTCGATTTTTGAACAATTGGCATCGAAAAAAACTAGATGCTAACTCCACATTTCTGTCACTTACAGTTCCCGCGATATCAGATTTTCTACAAAAAGAGAAAACCACCTTTCGAGCTTAGTGGGCGTAAGAGTGGGCGTGGCCGGATAATGATACCACCATATGATGCACTGCCATCTCAAGAGTATGCATACTTAATTCCAACTTCCTAACAGTTCCTGAGAATTCAGCGATTTTAGTTTTCCGCAATTTGTCGGCGTTAGAGTAGGCGTGGCAGGATGCTCAAATAAGTTTGCGTTGCGTATGGACCTCAAAATCTTTATGCTCAATCTTAATGTTGTCTCTCTTTTAGGTCCTGAGATCTCAGATCTCGTACAAACAGACTGACGGATGAACGGACGGACCTGGCTTCGCTATTGATCCTGATCAGAATATATATACTTTATGAGGTTACATATTTTCAACGAATCTAGTATACCCTTTTAGTAGACGAGTAACGGGTATAAAAACAAAAGGAAACGCTATAGTCGAGTGCCGCGACTATAAGATAACCATAACTGTTTTACACAATTTTAAAATATTCATTTTGCTAGTGGATTTTCACAAGGCGCCACCTATTGTCAGAGAAAACATGTTGAGTAACTGATAGTGATGTAACAAACTATGTGCGGCCTTATAACCTAAATGTCTTCATATATAGCGAAATAATGTTCTGATTTGAAAGTTCTTTGTTAAATCGATAGATATTAACAGAAATAAGTTATACAACGTCAAACGAAGGTATTCAAAATAGTATTGTAGACGCCATAGTTTTCCGCGGTTTGTGGGCGTTAGAGTGGGTGTGGCCGGATGAAAACTCTTATAGGTCTCAAGATTTTTGTATTTTTGGTTTTCCGGGTTTTGTGGGCGTTACGGTGAGAAAAAACAAACAAACAATTGGCATTTGGAGCATCATAAAAACCTACATGCTTAATCCGATATTTCTATCTCTTATAGTTACCGAGATATCAGCTTTTCTAAAAAATGCGAAAACCGTGTTTTGAACTTGGTGGGCGTATGAGTGGGTGTGGCCGGATAATAGTACCACTATAAGATGCGCTGGCATATAAAGATTATACATACTGAAATTTCAAATTTCTGGATCTAATAGTTCTGCTCAAACAATCAATCAGTCAATTGTCGTTAATTTTTCATTGAAGACTGATTGCTCTTTTAGAATTGGTATTCATCTATGAATTGAGTGCTTTTATAAATGTTGAGCAACTGAGAGTTTATAATTACTGTAGAATAAATAAACCGGTGCAGTTAAATTTCAAAATTTTATTTCGAGTTCAAATCAAATCAAATCAACTCCGCAACAAAACCTCGCCGAATGCAAGAAGATTAACAACTATAGCTTCGAGCAACAGTAGTTCTACAAAAGCTCTCAAAAGCGCAAGCGCTAGAAAATAACAGTAAAGCGCATGCGAAACTGGAAGAACCAAAGCAAAATAGAAACTGTTGATAAACACACCGCTGCTCATCCGTCTTCGTGTTTGGCTGCTTGGCCCAACAATAAAATTTATAAATTTATTTTAACTTCTCTTACGTGATATCGATATTTCAATTTTGAAATTAAAAAATTGTTAGTTAATTTTTTTTTTACCTTAGCTTCTAATTGAAAATGCTCAATTTTATTTGAAAACTATATCTTCTCACCTTGAAGTCACATGTACTGGAGGGAGAAATTCTTTTCTGCGATGATGAAATAGATGAACACTGATTAATAATTAATAAGTACTCACATTCCGCTTGAGAACTTTCCATTTAACAGCTTCAACACAAATGAATAATGTAAGACTATTTCCTCGACGGGCTTCGACTATACGTGATATATGCAACATTTTTTTTTTTTTAGTGATGTATGCAATTTTATATGAAAAACAATGAAAATAATTGTTGAATATTTGTTTTTTGGGTGTTACCTTTCGTGAACTTAAACTGCTCCGACATGGTCTATTTCCCGGCAGGAGATTTCAACGTCAAAAGATCGAAACAAAAAAGCAATAAATTGACTAAAAGACAGTTACGTTAGTTATGCTTGGACATTAGTTTTTTAGCTATTGAAGAATTTGACTAAACCACCATAATTTCATGCTAGAAAAGGTCTGTAAAATAAAAAAAATTACAAAAAGGGTTGCGTGTGAACAAAGCCAGATTATTTCATAGTCAGTTACAATTTACATATTTCAAATATCTATGGTTTGCAGAATTGTGGCAACACTTTAAAAAACACCAATTTTTAAAAAACGAGTTCGATATCTCGTAAATGTGTGTTTTAAATTACGTCTACATTAAAATTATGCATATGGATTATTTTACGACCCCAATTGTAGTTAAGTGTCGCCCTTTTAACGGATGTGTTTGGTTAAAGTCACCCTACCAATTATAGGTACTCAAACTGCTCATTTTATCTAAAATATCGAATACCAAACTACTCTGAACACATTTCTTGTACGTGCTTGTTTTTCTAAATTGCTAGATATAAATTTATTGTAAAAATGAAATTTTTGTATGTCTAATTTTTTATACTTTTTAGCCGAGCCTTTGCCGCTTATGGATCTTTGCCGAAGAACGATTCGACAAAAAATTGGACGTGCGAATTTGGAGGAACGCATACAACAACTTCAACTTCCTTTATCAATGAAAACATATTTATTGTATAAAAACCGTAGATAATAGTTTAATTAAGTTTAATAAAATAACAATTTCAACTTTTCTGCACGTGATGAAAGCAGTAAAAACTAATTGTGTTAGCTTGTAATAGTATTAGAACAATGTTTGTCTGTCCTCCAACAACAAAATCTTAGGTATAAAATAACTAAAAATACTTTAATTTAGCTCTAAAGGTACATTGTATATTAGAAAGCATGCAAATAATAGTACGCTTACAGTATGACATCTCATGTTTCAATAAATTGGAGAATTTATTTTCATATTCAAAAAATTATTCTCACATTATGCTATGCTAAAATAAATACCATTTAATTTGGGGCACTTAAGAAAGTATAGAAATGCTCAGAAAATATAAAAGTATTTAAATAAAAAAAAAGGATTAAAAACAAAATACACATTTTTGCCCCCCAACTGCGTACTTTACCGAACAATGCCAATGGAAAATGGGAATACGTTATTAATTCCGCGATTGCAATTTAAATCGGCATGTCAAGAGCTAAATAGTCTTCAATATAATTGTGTTTCGTTTGTAATATATAAATGCAAATTTTATTTTTGAACCCTAAACCGAATATCTTTTATTATAGCAATTTTGTAAAAAGTCAATATAATTTTCAATATACACATGTACTTATGCATTTCAGATTGTTTTTTAAGGTTATTATACAAATTCACGAGATTTAATAAAAAAATTTTTAAGAAGTGGAACAATCAATTTCCGTGTATAATCTCATCGATATTAAATTAGTTAGTTCGGATTTCGGATATAAGTTTCACTACATTTATATTAGTAAGCGATAATTTATTTGGTTTATTCAGTCTGCTTCGGCTCTCGGCAAAGTAAGTGTAAATAATAATAAAAATAATAATATATTACCCACTGGAAAATTTCGCATTTCTCCGAAAAAAAAGCTAATTTGCTGCTGTTTTATTTCGGCCATGGATTCACTTAACTCGTCGTCAGTCCCATTGGACTAGATGGGCTGTCAAGCCGTCAGTTAAGCTCGAAATCGGGCCTTCCCCGGAAAAAAAGCCAACGTGTTACATCAAAAGGTGTACGAAAACGTCGACAAGCCAAGTACCACCGCCTGTGCTCAAACCCAACTGGAAAAGCTTCATGGGTTTACCAACCTGGATAATTTCTTTTCGGTTCTATCAACTGATGATGACACTTATAGTGAAAACGTAATGCTGAACGACCGCGTTCGTCAGAAAAAAAGGGGGAAAGTCAGGAAGACTAAGCCCTCTGGCAAAAACGTGCCTAAAACTATTGGGCCATCTTCAACTTTCAACCCAGATGTGACCATCATGAAATCCTCCTCCAAAACCATTCCCGGTGCTTTAGGAAACTACATCGGGGTTGCCTACACGAATTGTACGAATTTTTTATTTTTGACGAAGAAAAAAAGTTGTTTGTCGTTTTCGGCAAAATGTTCCATTCCTCTGACCTTTTTTTCAGAAAACACGAACGAAAAATGTACCAGTATGAAAAAGAGATCCAATGTACCAACGCACAGAAAATGTACCAGTTTCGGTCCCCCAACAATGCTTTTACAATTCTGAAGATATTTCTGATTGAGAACAATAAAAGGATCCACAGTTTCCAACTCCGAGACGAAAGCGCCTACCGGATCGTTTTGAAAAGCCTCCACATAACTGCTGATCTGGATGTCATCCAGGGGGTCTCAGCCGCGAGGGACCTATTGTCAGGGATGTACATAATCTCACTTAAAAAGGTATCAAAAAGCCTCTGAATATATTCTTTTTATATTTCTTGAAACGCCTGTGCAGCACGTTGTTCATTCTTCAATAAAATTCAACAAAGTACCGCAATGTCACTGTTGCCAAGCCTTTGATAATACCAAGCGAAACTTCCACCTAAATCACAGATGTATTAAGTGCGGAGGTGAACACTTAACCGTAGGGTTCCCGAAACATCCCACGAAAAATACCTAATTCAGAGATGCTGTCCATATAACAAACAGTGATTTAATATGAATTAAGAGACTGCTCCCGACATCTTGTAAAATATATTTTTCAAAAACAATTTAAAATCAAATTATTTCCCAAATTATTAACAATTTGGATTAAATATCAATGAATTAAAAAAGTAAAAAAGAAAGGATACACGAAATATGTAGTTTCACACATCGCTGGAAGAGGAGTTCCGTTCAAATAAAAGTGTTAAATTGATATATTAGTAAACAATATAATGACCTTGCAAAAAGATTATTATACGCGAAGATAATATTTTAGAAGGGAGCTATTCCGTCCCAGTACGGAACTATACGAGATACAAAGTTGGAATTAAGCATGCAGATGTCTACGCTGCTCAAGTTTATTTCAGGGTCCTGCCACAATTACTTTAACGTTCACAAAACATGAAAAGCTAAAATCGCAGAGATCTCTAGAACTATAAGACCTATAAAGTTGTGATTTGGCATGTACGAGGTGTGTTCAAAAAGTAAGGTGACTCTTCAAATTTCGCGAATTTCAAATTTTTCGATTATCGAAACCTTTTAGAAGTTATACGAGGTGTGTTCAAAAAGTAAGGTGACTTTTCAAATTTTTCGATTATCTTCAGTTTTGGGAACAAGAAAAATTCACATGGGGCCAAATCCGGTGAATATGGTGGCTGAGGCATTATTGTGGTGTTGTTTTTGGCCAAAAAATCCAAATCCTTTGATCCATATTTTTCGATAGCAAAAAATCGCCGAGCTCGCAAAAGAACTTGTAACTTTACGCCTCTCACAACCAAACAAAAGAGGATGTTCCATTGAAACTTGGTACAGATGTTAGGGAAGAGTGTACCAATATAACAAAACAAAAAAATCGATAATCGAAAAATTTGAAATTCGCGAAATTTGAAGAGTCACCTTACTTTTTGAACACACCTCGTACACTCTTTAGATGCCACACGTAGCTTAAGGTTGTTGGGTGTTTGAGTGGCAGTGGCCGGATGGCGATACAAACTTGTACTGCATAAGCATCTCTCTGATAGTGACGTCACTCATTTTTAACTATAATATTGTAGACTCCAGGGTTATTTGTGCTTTTACATTGAATTGCGGTGTGGTATCTAGAACATGTGCTCTAGCTCTTATATGTTGTTCCCAAGATCTCAGCGTTCTTAGTTTATTCCGTCTTGCTGACATACTGTTGGGCCAAGCAGCCAAAGCAAAGACGGATGAGCAGCGGGGGGCTTATCAGCAGTTTCTAGTTTGTTTTCATTATCTCAGTTTTGCATGCGCTTTACTGTTAGTTTAGTTTATTGCGTCTTGCTGACATACTGTTGGGCCAAGCAGCCAAAGCAAACACGGATGAGCAGCGGCGGGCCTTTCAGCAGTTTCTAGTTTGTTTTCATTATCTCAGTTTCGCATCCGCTTTACTGTTAGTTTGTAGCGCATGCGCTGTTGGGAGCTTTGTATAACTCCTGTAGCTCGAAGCTTTTGTTGTTTAGCTTTAACTCTTTGCATCCGGCGTGGTTTTGTTGCGGAGGTAATTTGTTTTAATTTGAACTCTTAATAAAAATTTGGAAATTGAACTGCCCCGATGTATTTATTCTAAAGCAACGAAAAACTCCTAGTTGCTCAACATTTTGGTAGCCCCGACGTGATCGCGCGTTTTTGATTATTGTGATAAAAGTGCCAGGGGAACTTGTTGTTTCTTCGGGAGCTATCCGACCGATTCAATGCGGGCCCTCATGAGTTCTGAGACGGCGGACGAAATTTAAGGATGCCTCCTCAACCAGATCATCTTTCAAAAGCTGGACCCTGACACAAAGGCGAAGTGGGAAGACTCTCTCGCAGGAAAAAATGATTACAGCCTGCCAACTTGGGGATCTATGGCTCGGTTTTTGGAAAAAGATGCCGTACACTTGAGACTGTGAATTTTGCCTTAGCTTTGCATCTACCAGCGGATCAAGTGCATGCATGCTCATTAATGTGCGGTCGTATGCTGTTCCTTCCCTCCCAAGGTTCCACGCCTTGTCAGTTGTGGAACGGCACGATGAAGTCCGGCGTCTTGCCCTCTGCTTTAATTGCCTCAAGTCTGGACACTTAGCAAGTGGATGCTCATCCTCCCGCTGCCCAACGTGTAATCGCCGACATCTTGCCCTATTATATCCTTGCGTGGATCCTGCCAATGAGGCTGGCTTAGCAACCACTCGGGCTCCGCCAGCTAACGCGTTTGTGACCCAGGATAGCCACGCTGAAGTAGTGTTTTTGCCAACATTCTCGTTCGTGGCCGATCAGGAGACTTCCTTCCCTGCCGAGCGCTACTTGATTTCGCCTCGCAAGTTCATCTCATCACATCGTGGCTGGCCAGCCAACTTCTCTTTATCGATCCGAATGGTCTGTAGCCGTGACTAAACTTGGAGATACTGAATCACTACGGATGAAGCATCGGTTAATGTTCGCCTGAAGTCTCGACTATCCACGTATTCGGTATGCCTTGAGCCAGTTGTGGAGTCTCACATAACAGAGCGTCAACCTGGTCAGAACATTGATGTCTCCAACTAGAAGGTTCCTGCTAATGTGTTTCTAGCAGATCCAAACTTTCACAGACCGCAGGGTGAGGATTTGCTGATTGGAGCCGGCCTGTTTTTCGATATGCTCTCAGTTGGGCAAATCCAACTAGGAGAATGTTTGCCCCTTGTGGAGACAGAGAATTCCCGTCTAAGCAGGAGACACTGTCACGTTTTGACTTGAAAAATACCATTCAGAGCCTGCGTGCGCCTGTCGTTCAAGGATCAGATCCAATAACAGGACATCTGTCGTCTGCAAGAGGCCGCTGCACGCACATCCAATTCTACGCACAAGTCCATCGGAGAGTTGCAATCGACTCGTGTTCAAATTGATAGTCTAAATGCCAAGCCTCACGATTTTGAGCTCGTACGTGAATTGGAGCAGGAACTAGATAACCCTCGCGAGCGTCACGGTCAAGAGGGTGCTCAACTCGAAAAGGAGCTTATTCGACTGCGCGAAGACAAGACCCATCAACTGCAGGAGAACCAGGACATCCAGGTCTCACTGGATTTAGAAATCGCTGCCTACGACAAGAACTACGTTTGGCTAGTGTCAAAGGTAGGACAAGGAGATCGATCCTGAGGGCAAGATCTTGAAGCATAAGGGAACAATAATTGTACAACAGTAATTTATTTTCTCTTCTTCCTTTTATACCCGTTACTCGTAGAGTAAAAGGGTACACTACTATAATGACAGGAGAAATCATTATTATCTTTTTGAGTGGTGTTCACGACTGAACTTTTATTTGCAAACATTTCTTCTTAGAGGCTAAAAACTGAAGAGAACAGCGATAGGAGTATATACATGCATTGGCATATTTGTCATATACCATGAGACGGCCGGCTATAAGTGTTAGTTGGTGTAGAGCCAGTCGTGGGAATGCATGATCAGCATTTTAGGGCCGGCTCGTTGGCCGGACACTTGAGAAGGAATGTGTTAGTTTGTATGTGCACATACAATGTATGTATTTATGTAATTAAAATAGAATTAAAATTATATACTCCGCTCGCTACACCTCCCCCGTTAAAATGAATGATGTATATTTATGAAGTCATTTTAAAATATTTGTAAAAGAATGAATATAGAATCAAAATAAAATTAAATGAAATTGTATGGAATGATATGATGATGGTCTTAAATGGTTTTTATGTGGGTTTTTATTTTTATATTTTTTTTTTTTTTTTTGTGT